AACTGGTTAAAACTTCTGATACAAAGAAAGAGGAAGGTAAAACCTTAATTGGTTAAAACTTCTAGTCCACAAAATGTCAAAAGAAGTGCACAGGAAGAAAAAGATCAAAAACTTCGTTGGTCTACACTTCTATTACGCGAAGAAAACGCACAAGTTAAAGTGGCATCCAAAATTATTCAAGCGGCATCAAACCAAGAAAACATTCACAATACGGTATGCAATTATATGAACTTTAACTATATACAAAATCTTGCAAACCTTAAAGCACTAGCAAAGTACAAAACATAGCGCCAAATAAAGGCACAATGAAATGCACCCTCATACTTAAAAGCTTAGAGCACCCAGATTAGGAAGCTTAGATTCACATCGCGCAACATGTGAAAACGATATTACAATTTAACACAAGAACAAGCAGACACATTAAGAAATGAAGACAAATTATAAATATTTGAAAACACTCATTATCCAGCACAAAATCAAATAGTTTGGACTCATTATCCAGACCATGTGATAATTGTCTTACAAAATATATCATTAGTACAAAAAAAATAACGGAGATTTGAAAGGTGGTCTTAAATCGCCTAGATGGACATATCACGAGGCCCATCTGCTGCATCAGTTTGGTTGTCTGCTGTATTTTCTGGCACAATTGGTTGCGCAGGAGTCTCGATGTCCATTGCGCTTACTAAACCCATTGGCTCCTCCTTTTGCTAGTCATTTAACTTCATCAACTATCCATTCTTCACAAAATGAAGATAATGAACATTCTCCAGCTTCGCCGTTAGATTAAAAAGGAACACCTACTCAAGGATATTCTCATAAGTGCCAACAGCCTCATTTTCAAACAGTCCTTGATATCTTGCCACCTCAGAATTCAGACTCGTCTTCTCTTCATCTAAGGACCCAATGGTTGCCAATAAGTCCTTCACTTGGTTTGACAGGACAGTCTTTTGCGTTTTGAGTGTAGCATTACTGGCCTTTAACTCTTTCAGTACAGCTCTTGCGACATGTCAGTTTTTTCATCTTTAGCCATCTTCTTGGCTCGTTCAAATTCAGCAAGCAGGTTGGTCTTCTCATCTCGCAACATCTCAATCCGCTCCTTAAAGAAGGCAACATTACCTACCAAATAGAAGACACAATTCCAAGACGAAAGGGGGTTAGCCAAAAAATGCTTTGATAAATAGGAAACCTTACGTAGATTCAGCAAGGTATTATACATACCAGTTAGCGACATTAAACGTTGATTTGCTATATTTCTTTGCCACCTCTCTTTCCCAGTCACCCATCTCAGCCTTTTCAATCAAATGGCCAATTTCTTTGCCCTTAGCGTATAAGCAATCCTCCATGTCCCAGTCACCTCCCCAATAGGTTGAATCTTGGAAAGAAGAGCTGGATTCTGCGGCTTTTCTTTTCTTGCCCCTTAATGATTGGATTATTTCTTTCTTCTTCTTTGAAGAGGAAGGCACTTCTTTGGAGATATGAGGACCAGGGGAAGTAAGGCACGTTGCGCCATGACTTGATTGTGCACCTGAGGGTGATGCACAAGTACATGTTTGTTGTATTCGGATCAGGGAAATAAAGAAATTTGGATCCTCAGATACATCAAAGGAGCACCGGGAAAAGGTTTGTTGTATTCGGATCAGGGAAATACAGAAATTTGTGGTTATTCAGATGCTGATTGGGCAGGATCACCCTCGGACAGGCGCTCTACTTCCGGCTATTGTGTCTTCTTTGGAGGAAACTTAATTTCTTCGAAGAGCAAGAAACAACCTGTTGTTGCTCGATCTAGTGTAGTAGCTGAGTATCGTGCAATGGCAAATACTACCTGTGAGTTAATCTGGTTAAAGCAGTTGATTCAGGAGCTTCATCTTTGTGAACAGAAACAACCCATGACACTCATTTGTGATAATCAAGTTGTGCTACATATATCCTCTTATCTTGTATTTCATGAGAGAACCAAATATATAGAGATTGATTGTCACTTCATTCGAGAAAAGATTCAGTCAGGAGAAATCAAGACAGCTTTTGTCAACTCTTCTGATCAACTAGCGGATGTCTTCACTAAAGCTCTTAGAGGTCCTCGGGTTGAATACATTTGTAGCAAGCTTGGTGCTCACAATATATATGCACCAGCTTGAGGGGGAGTGTTAGAATATATTAGATATGATTAGATATGATTGAATATGATTAGATATGATTGGATTACTTCCTATCTGTAAATATTCTGATTGGATTAGGTCTGGGCCTTTCACTTAAGCCCATTAGGGTCTCTATATATTGTAACTCTCTGAATTAGTTCAATACACAACATATTATTTTATATTCAAGTATATAAAACGGACAAGGTTATTGAAACTTGAAATAATATCTAATTCATAAGGGGCTACTTCCACAAAGACCCCGGAAGAAGCAAGCTTCCCCAAGATTGAATTATGCCTCAGAATCATACTTCATTGCATGATCCCCACTTCACCAAAACCCAAATCAAGTCAAAGCTGCTCTAGGCCTATAGGTGCTACTGCTGCCATCAACCAATAGCAAGAAATACTCACTTTCAACATCCTGATTCATTATATATAACGAGTCTAAATAAACCAAGAATAATCAATGTGGCATGGACAATCCTCATGCTCACCAAATAAGGCAACAAAGCCCAACAGAGTATCAGCTCAATAAACCAAAATGAAACTAAAAATATAAGCAGCATCCAATCATATCAGCATAAGCATGTAAACAACAGTCAACTAAGCTCCGGCCTCCTGCCGCCTGAGGTCTCAACCCCCGATGTACCTGAACCTGAAAATGTGCCCCAAACATTGGGTGAGATCTCTAAAAAGAAATCTCAGTAAGCCAAGGGGTCCTCAAGGATCTCTCCACCCCAAGCTCACTTACATGTGCAATATAAGTTCAAAAGCAAATAAACAATATAAGTTCCAAAATCTGTGCAATGCAGAATATAATCATGTCATGTGTGTCAAGAATCCTACTGGCCAGAGAATAAACATGCAGGATTTACACACGTCTACAACCTACAGTACAAGACGCCACTTGTACCTCACCCACAGAATCACCATATTGTATGACGCTACATACTTAGGCTTACCGTCTAGGTGGAACAACACATACATGTCATAAGGCACTTGCACTTAACAGCTCAAAAGCATTTCAATAAACATCATTTCATGAAAACACATCATGCATATAAACCATCCCCCCGTGGGGTACGGTGGAACCAACAATGGGCAAAACCGAGGACACGAAAGCTTACCTCGCAAGCTAGCTATCCAACACAAGAGTCCAACCCAGTCCAATGTCCACAAACAGCTCTCTCACAGTCTGTTTATACCAACAATCATATCGATATTCATAATCTAATAGTTCATGACAATACGACAACGTTTTCCTTTTACGTTTCATGCCATTAGGCTTCTCACAAAGCCACAAGCCCTTAATCTAAGTGATTCTGACTTAGTTTAATTATTACAGGGGTTCAACTTTACCAATCATGTGTCCACAAACCCAAAATACCATTCTGTATGAACAGAACAGTGACCATCTCGAAATTTTCAGTATATCCGGATATATGTCGAGGCCATATCCGAATACCCATATCCAGATATCTCAAACCCCATATCAGGATATCATATCCGGATATTTCGCGACAGAATGCAGTTTCTGCATTTCGCGAGATATCACTCCAAGATTGCTCTTTTAACGATTTCAGAAGCTCAAACATACATTTCTAGGTGTGTTTAACATTACCCACCCTTAAGTTATTAACTTTAGCTTGCTACATGCATCAAGGTTCATTCTTTCCAAAGAAAACTCAAGAACAAAGGTGGTGAACTTTACCCAAGGCTTAAAACAGAAGCAAATGGTGCTCTTGGAGCTCACCAATCAGCCACACAACACTGACTTCACAAGGCTACGAATTTGCCTTCCAAGCTTGGTCCTTTTATCAACAATGGTAGCTTCTTGAAGCTCAAAATGCCATCATAATGGCTCCCACAACTCACACCAAGAAGTCAGCCCCCCAACCCTCACTCAACTAACACTCAACTCAGAAATAGATCACCTTACACTCTCTAAAGTCTTATGCACACTCACACATGGAGATTTAGTGAAGAAACCAAGAGAAAAGGTGATCTCTTTGCTCACAAGGTGAAGAGGAAGAGGGTGGCAAGCATGGAAAGCTCAAGATTCAGAAGAGAGGCACGTAGAGTGTGAGATTTCTGACCTAGAAATATGTGCCATTAAGTATATTTAGGCGTATTAAGATTAATCACACTGTATTAGAACTAATGGCTACGTTTATCATTTTAATCCCAAATTTTGAATTCAGAACCTAGCCATTTTCCAAAGATTTGTCATATTTTTATTTTATTTTTCACAACACTTTGCCGGTACACGCTTTTACGTAGCCGGTATCAGTCTTGACACCAATTTTCATTATTTTGACTTGAAACTTGTTATACCAGTCCTATATATTATTCTAGGAATATTCATGCACTTATTATAATTTTTTGTGATACTTCATCGGTACGCAATTATACCGTAGAGCAGAATCGGTATCTGCACTTTTCGTCAGAAAAGCGACATTCAGCATTATTAAGCCATTATATTAATTATTCTTACCTTACCATAATTATTTAAGGTCAATTATGAAATTATTCACTTAAGCTCATAATTAATTAATTAAATTGATAATTTAACGGTGCGGGTTCTTACAATCACATTTATCACTGGCAACAAAGTTATTCTTATAATGTAATGCATTTGTTTAATTTCAAAACTGTGAAATTTTATAATAAAAATGAACCGAAGAGTTATGTGCATAGAGCACAAAAACCCAAGGGGCAATCCAAATGTAGAAAGATGGAGAGAAAATTATTTATTTGTGTATGTATACATATACATGATTGAATAACAAGGAAAAAAAAATCAAATTGAGCCTCCAATGAAAAATTACCCAACACAAAATTTTCTATTTGAATAAAAATCTAAACTATGAGGTTAAAAAAATCATAGCAGCTATGGAAGCAGCATATAGGCTAGTCTCAAGAACACTCCACCAATGCTTCTAATTCCTTGACTATTTGATCTACAGCATGCACGATCATCTTCTTTATCTGTTTCATTAAAAATCATCCACCATAAACAAACATAAAATAAGAAAATGTTGGCTAACATCACAATTTCTTATACAACTTAAGTAGGTTGAAGCTAAGGAAGAGAGGAGGATAGTAGATAAGGAAATATGTTATAGAAGAAAATCACCTCTAGCTTATCTTCCCTCGCCTTGTGATTCCTAGGAAGACGACGAAATTCATCCTTTAATCGCAAGCACATATGAATATTCTCAGGAGACACAAAATCTGAAGCAACTTTAGTGCATGACTGCAAGATTTCCATTATTGTAATTAGAGTTAAAGGGGTACAATAAATAAAAATATGATAATGAGGCAATCTAATATGTGTCAAAGAGAAGTTTTACCTTGAGATTCCTAACTTGGTGTGGACATCCAGCAGGAATAAATACTGCCTCTCCAAGTTTCTGCTCAAACGTCCAAGGTTCTACACCTGAAAGTTAAGATTTGGGTAAATAACTAATTGTAGGCATTGCCCAAGTTGTTTGCAATTCTATGAACTAACTACTAACCAAATTCTTCCTTCAGCTTCTTCTTGTGCTCCAAAGTCAAATAAAAACATTGGTCATGAATTGGATGGACAACCTAACCAGAATAGAAAATAATGAACCCCAAAGCATAAGAAGCAAGGATAAGCACAAATATAAGACAAATATAACAATACCTTTTGAACTGGACAACAATAAGTATGTCTAAATTCTTTAGAATGTTTTCGTAGATATGCTTCTAACTTTTCAGTATCCTCCCTCCGAAAGATGTCCCAAAGAGCACCACCTGTTTCTGTTGTTTCTTTAGAGACAGCAGCCACATCATTTGGAAATATCTTTCCATTGACTTTATGGCACTTCTTCTGGCATTCAGCAACCTGAGCAAGACACTCTTTCTCATCTTGGGCCTTGTGTGCTTTCTTTAATTTTGAAATAACAGGGTGTTGTTCATCAGTTAATGTAACCTCAGCTGTATGAGTCAAAATATTCACCTGTGGAAATTATTGAACAAGAAATTAGAAATAAAAATTGAAGTAAATGTGCTAGCATTTGATACCTGACACAAGATATAAAGAAAATTTCTAAAGATGGAAATATATTATTTGTTATTAAAAGAGCATAATATTTGCATTTTGCAAAAAAAAAAAATGCCTTAGATTAATTAGAAGTTTCATGCATTCTCTAAGAACAGAATATAATCATTTGCCATCTTACAATATGGTTACCCATATTAACAAACTATAAATTCCAAGTTTCAACCATATAAAAACAACATTTTAAACTACGAAAAGTAAAGCTATAATTTCTACAACCGAAGGAATGGCTCAAATTCAACAAAGAACAAACAAGAGAAATTAAAAAATTATTTAAGAAGCACCAGCATAACATGAAGAAAACTAGGATTTTGTATTCAATGAACAAATATAATGTAGTTTCTAACAAGGCTTTAAATAATAGAAATTATATGTTACAAGGTATCATACCGCATCAGACATATCACAGTGAAGCTTTGTTACAGAGTCCCCTCTGCCAAGTTCTTCTTTAGTCCCATATGCAATATAGGTTTTAGGACCCATGTCAGGCTTTAGGACATGAGCTGGTAACTTTGCAGCAAGGTTGAGGATTCCAGCTCGAGGATCACTGTACTCTTGAAATGGTAAACAACGGATAAATTCATCACAATGCCGGGGCAAAAGATCTTCAAACTTGTCAGAGGGGGGCCAGTCTTTTAGCTTGAGCATCTCTGGCCAGAGATTCATATATGTTCTTCCTTTCGTATAACCTTTAAAGAAATCACGAATGAGAATTTCTACCTGCAAAGGTTTAGAAGGGTGTTAATCAGAGTTCTAATATTATATGCAGGAAATACAAAGTGAAATTGTTATTCTTAACATTAAGAAGGAAATGAATAAGAAAAAAGACATGATTACTGGAAATGAATAAAATACCCACTGTCCATTACAATATAAAAGAAATATAATATCATATGCTTTACACCTACCCAATTCAAAGATAGTTATTTTATGACAATGATTTTGTGGGGAAATGTTAATATAAATGCACAAAAGGATTATAGAAGCAAACCTCACAACAAGACAGACAATCAATGGCCTTCACTTTTGACGCATTTGAGCTGTTCCCTGAAACCAAATTTTCACAAAATGCTCGCCATGTGACCTTTGGCTCCCAACTCAGACCTGTCCCTTGTTTAAGAACATCCCGAACTATGATTGGTTCACCTTTAATCCAATGCTGTTGGAAGAGAAATAGCCCTTCTTCTGACAAGTCACTTGACACTGGACAGTATATGTTATTATCATTCGTGCCATCTCTAAAAGCAGCTCTTATCATAGAATTGCTGCTTAATATTGCGTCTTTCTGAAGAGTTTTGTGCTCAATTTTGCAAAAATTCTTCAGCATGTTACGAGTTTTGTCTTCCAAATTAGAAATCAGTCCATTTGGAAGCATGCACTTCAACTCCAATACACAGTCACCACAACCCCCCATTTCTTTTGGAGCACATCTAATACTTCCATCACTGTTAGCATTCCAATCAGTATATATCTTAATAGTATCCTCTGAAGTCCCTAAATCACAATATACTGGTTGAGGATGACCACCATGCATGTACTCAATGCCCTTATTATCATATTCAAGCTTCAGTTCAGGCTGGGGTGAAATACTTCCATTTCGTATTTCTTGACAGCAAGTAAGACAGATTTCAAACGAACACTTGGGGCAGCTTCTATAAAGATCAACAATAGACGTGGCACAGTGATCACTGCTCCAAGAACAAAAAAAATCAAAATAAAAGATCTTGTAAAATATAGAAGGAATCATGCTATAGTATATATTAGGCAAAGGGACAGATACAATACCAATAGATACGTTCATCGTCACTACAAGTACTTTGAGGTATCTTAATCTCAGAACATGATTTTCCTGACATGAGAGATTAGTTAGTGATGTCTCAAAAGTTAAGTAAAAAAAAAAAAAACACAGAGCTAAAGCTTAAAACCTTGTATCTTGGCTTCAATCTCATGCTCATGACTTTGTTCTTCACGAATTTGTTCCACAAACGGAAAAAGTGAATTAGTCATGTATTGCAAATATCGAACCTTTTCACAATCTTTGAACTTCCCGTTAGATGTCTGAATGGAGATAACAAATTAGAGGACAAGGCCAAAGACAAAGAAATAAAAAATATACTTTTGAACAAGAGAAAAATTAAGGGTGTCTACTGGACACTATAGTAAACTAAACCTTAATCATTCCCTTTGAACGTAAGCAGACATTGCAGTTGCAATTTTTCCTGCAAAATGGGCAACTCGCTGCTATATCTTCTATTTTCATATCGGGATACCTATGTGCAAAAATAAGAAAATAGTTATATTTTGTAAAGGTATCTAATAAAATAGATGAACAAATAAATAAATCTTTCGAATGATTATTTAGATGTAAAAAAACATACCAGTTGTTGATGCACCCCAGACAGTACATTTTCTGACATTTAGTACATGGTACAAATGCTGCTCTTTCCTTTTTCATGCACTGATGACATATTTTGGAATTTTGTTCAGTATCCTGTTAACACAAATAGTAAAGCACTTATTAAACTGTTATAAGGCTTAAATACCAAAAAAATGTCATAAACTAAGACACTTTTTATAAATGTAAGAAATAAGCATTCAGAAACGCAATCACCTTCATATTGTCCATATTTCTAGTTTTCCTTCTTGACTTTGTCCATGAAAGAGAAAGAACTTCCTCATCTTCTTCCAAATTGTTAATCTTGATATTGTCTTCCAATTTTCTTTTCTTGTTCAAGCCAGAAAGACTCTTCTTTGGCTCATGTACTTTCCTGGATGGAAGTTTAGTATTCTTTGAACTTGCCAAAATGCCTTCTTGAACCTTTCTCTTCTTTGAACCATATCTGCGCTTTCCTCTCGTTGGAATTCTGAAGGAATCTGAGCACCTTAAGAACAAATTATCCTCAGTCTGAGGATTTGACTTTCCTTGCGGTGAAAATACAAGGTCCATTCCTACTGCAGAAAAAACAGGGAATTAATATGAGATAATGGATTAACATCCGAATATTATAAGATAGGTTATCTATTTATCAGTCATTCAATGATTAAACCTGCACCAGATGCAGAGGCATCTTTGCTTGATTGAAGGGCCCGTTGGCGTGTTGTAAGAGTCATTTCCCTCTTACTGTCCATCAATACATCAACAGATTCCTTCCTCTGTTTCTTCTTTTTCTTATCCTCCAGGTCACCATCGGACACCGACTCCTCTTCGTCCTCATAATCTGTGTCCTCATACATTTTATCAGATCTAGACCTTTTCTTACCATCTTTGCCTGACCTTGACGAGGATACATTTTCCATATTCGAGACACTAGAGAGTTTCCGACGTTTCTTGCTTAATTCTTCTTCATCTCTGTAGACTGCAGAAACTTTTGATGCTTTCAGCTTTTCCAAGTATCGGATCTCATCATCCTCGTTGTCATCACCGAATTCGTCATCAAGCACACCTCTCTTTGGTACTCTCTTGCTCTTACGAACTGGTTCCGACTTGTCTCCCTGCTTACCAGATGCGTTCTTTCCAGATATCTTCCCCATCAATGATTCCTCCTTCCCACGACCAAAACCACCCTTTGAGAAATCCTTCCACGGAACGCCTTGCAGACCACTCCTCTTATCAGAAGGAGAATTATTATCATCTGAATTACTCTGTAATAACACAATTTGATGAGAGCAATCAAATGGGGTTCTAAAGTCAAAAAAGTCAAGAGAAGTTATTACATTTAATGATAAGAAATCAAGACCAAAGATATTATTCCATAAAATTAAGATCTAAATAACCAATACTATCCTTGCAGACAGGCCAGATAAGATATGACTCAATAGTCTCGTGAATGAGAAATGCCTCGATAATCTCGTGAAATAACACATTTTATAGAAATTTCGCACCTACTAGTGATTAATTCTGAAAAAGCCAAACATCCTATGGACAACTCCCAACTAAGGTATCAAGGACCAACTAAGCTATTAGGTGGAAGCACTCGGATGGTTTAAAATCTCTAACTATCCCCTTTAGGCAAGAGTCGTTTGGGCTTGGAGCATAGACAACGCACAGGCCCACTTAACCTTGCGTTAAAATTTAATTTAAGTATGAAAATTGAGACAATAAGGATTAACTACTTGGCCATAGAAACGCTGATAACATGTCATGGAGTAACTGCTAAAAGTTTAAGCGGCTTTATCTCTAACACATGTTATAACTATAAATGTTGCGGTCTAGGATGCTGTCATAAATTCTAATATAATCTATTATTGCATCCAAAACAGAAATACCTGTTGCTTTTGACGGGGTCTGGAGGCATCTGATGAACGTGAGCTCTTCATAGTCGATCCACTTCCTGAAGTACCATTGGATGCAAAGTTAACTTGAATAGTACGCGTCACACCGCCAACCTTGAGTTTAACCTTTTTAACCCTGTTCTCACTCCTCACAGCATTGCTGAGACCATCAAACCGGGTACCCCCTAAATCTTCCATTAAAGACTTGTTATTATATAATGGCACAGGTAGAATTTCTGGTGCCCCTTTCAACTACTGGTGAGGGAAAACTCTCACAAACCACAATTATTGCCGCTGCAATTGAGTTATATAAAACCATCAGCAATCATATTGATCATTCTTAAAATCAAACCATACAATTTCCAATTTAACATAACTGTTACTGCTTTCTTCTACTATTTTAAAAAAAAAAAATGACTTGAAAAAAAGCAACTCAATTTTGAATTTTAATTAAGAATTTTTTTATTTGTCACATGTTTTTCAATCGACTACAACATTTGAAGCGATAGGAGGGAAGCAGCATCATGTGGCATTTGTGTATAGTGTTGCGGTTCCGTTTACAGTCAAAACTGACCGATACGAATTATAAAATTCCTTTTTTTAGGAACAAAAACCTTCGAAACCTAAGCATGGATTAGAGTACTAAGAAGCAAAAAAAAAAAAAAAAAAAAAACAGAAAAAACTAAAGATTCAATAAAATTGAGAAGAAGAAGCAAGGGTGAATCGGGTAAAGACCTCGTTCTCGGTAACAGAATTTTCCCTTTATGCTAGCGCCCTTAGCCGTAGGGGTGGGATCAAAGGGGAAGAAGGTATTGGAGCAATGCCTTCTCTTTCGTGACTTCAATTAGAGGTAATTGGGTAGCCTTCAGTGCGAGTATGAAAGCTAGCCTCTTTGCTCTGTGCGGCGAAGGTTTGGGGTTGGGGAAGATGGCTTAAGAAAAATATGACGAAAACAGAGAAGAGCGTTTTTAATACAACCAAATAGGGGTTCATCTGCTGCTGATTCTTCTGAAAGTGCCATGTTTGGAAGACATATATAGAGCTCATAAAAGTATATGCGTGAAAATTCCGATTAAATCTTAGATTTTAAGATTCTTTTCAATCAAAGTGATTGTATCAATATAGAGCTCATAAAAGTATACGCGTGAAAATTCCGATTAAATCTTAGATTTTAAGATTCTTTTCAATCAAAGTGATTGTATCAATATAGAGCTCATAAAAATATACGCGTGAAAATTCCGATTAAATCTTAGATTTTAAGATTCTTTTCAATCAAAATTATTGTATCAAAATTTCAAACAATCTTAAGATTCTACGATTTTTTATGATTTTTTTTATTTTAGGATTTTATATTTTACGATTTTTCATCTTCATTTTAATTTTAGATAAAATTCTGATTTTAACTACCATGCGCATGACAATAATACGTTCTAAGTTTTTTTTTCATAACAGAAAAAAAAATCTTAAGAAAATTATTTGAAAAAATATAAATTAATATGAAATGATGATACATATGTTTTTATTATATAATTATCCAAAGTGATTACAATAAAAACAATAGAAAAAAAAATTAGCTTTCGAAGATATCAATTGAAATTTTTTATTAATAATTTTAATTTATTTTTATTTCATGTCCGTAACTATTCTAAATAGGCTTAATTTATGTAAAAGATTTTTAGTCAGATGTAGCCTATTATTTTTGTATAGGCTAAATTAAGGAAGCACGGTCACTTTGTTTTTTTATGAAAAAGATGTGGTGGATATTGTCATGTTTCGATATGCGATCAACGTTCTGACATATATTTTGATATGTGTTCTAACATGTATTTCGATATGTAATGTTCATGTAGATTCAAATATTTTTTATATTATTTTTTTAATTAATTATGAAAAATTAATTGATAAATTAAATTTTTTTTTGTTATGAAATTTGACATGAAAAATTAACAAGGAATAAAAAATATTTTTATTTTATATTTATGTTATAAATTTGAATATTTGATTGATTATATAATTTATTATGAACTATTGTATGTATTAAATATAAACTATATTATATATATTAAAAATGTTATTTAATATCAAAACGTGTTTTAACGTGTCGAAATCTAATATTTTTTAGAATTAACGCGTCGAAGTGTGCAAAAAAATTGATTTAATACTTTTTAATAAATTAATTACGCATTTATTACAGTTTTAAAAATAATTACACATTTATTGCACAATATGACGCCCAATTTGGCGTCACTAAAGACGCCTAAATTGGGCGTCACTCAAGGGGCAATCACGCCTAAGTTAGGCGTCACTTATCAGGTGTTGACACGTGTCATATTTTTTTTCAAAAAAAAAATAATTTAATCATAAAACTTCTGAACGCCATAACTTTTGACTCGGATGTCCAAATCAGGTAATTCTTTTTTTGATTCCACATAACTTTTCGAGATCTACGCAATGACATGTCAGTTGACATATTTTATTTCTCACAAACACAATTTAAATTTACAAGAATGGTATTATAAGAGCGGTTAAACCCAGAAGCCTCTGAGTTCTGGATTTGTGATTTAATATAAAAATAAAATAAAATTTTGATTTGTGATTTAATTTTTTTATAATAATTTTTTTATTATAACAAAAAATTTGTTTGTGATTTAAATTAAAAATAAAAATAGAAATTATTATTAATAAGGAAAACAAAATAAAGATTTGATTTGTGATTTAAACTAAAAAATCAATTTAAAAAATCTGTAGAAATAAAGCAAATAATTAAATAAATATTCTAAATCACTAAGAAAGAAAGATATTATTTTTGAAATTAATGATTAATGCTATAAGCTTCTGGGTTATTATTTGTGGTGTGAAATTAATTATGGTTTATGAATGTTTTTCAAAAATAAAATTACCTAAATTAGGCGTGATTGCCTCTTGATTGAAACCCAATTTAGACGTCATTGGTGACGTGTCAGGTGTTGACACGTGTCACAATTTTAAACTCAGAAGCCTCTGAGTTCAGGGTTTGTGATTTAATATAAAAATAAATCAAGATTTGATGTGTGATTTAAATTAAAAAAATAACAATTATTATTAATAAGGAAAACAAAATAAAGATTTGATTTGTGATTTAAACTCAAAAATCAATTTGAAAAATCTGTATTAATAAAGGAAATAATTAAATAAATATTCTAAATCTCTAAGGAAGAAGGATATTATTTTTGAAATTAATGATTAATGCTATAAGCTTCTAGGTTATTATTTGTGGTCTGAAATTAATTATGGCTTATAAATGTTTTTCAAAAATAAAATTACCTAAATTAAGCATGATTGCCTCGTGATTGAAACTCAATTTAGACGTCATTGGTGACGTGTCAGGTGTTGACACGTGTTCACACGTGTCACATTTTTAAACTTAGAAGTCTCTGAGTTCTGGGTTTGTGATTTAATATAAAAAATAAATCAAGATTTGATGTATGATTTAAATTAAAAAATAACAATTATTATTAATAAGGAAAATAAAATAAAGATTTGATTTGTGATTTAAACTCAAAAATCGATTTGAAAAATCTGTATTAATAAAGGAAATAATTAAATAAATATTCTAAATCTCTAAGGAAGAAGGATTACCTGATTTAAATTTAAATTATGTTTGTGAAATAAAATATGTCAAGTGAGATGTCATTGCGCAGATCTCGAAAAGTTATGTGAAATCAAAAAAATAATTACCTGATTTGGATACCCGAGTCAAAAGTTGTGACATTCACAAGTTTTATGATTAAATTATTTTTTTTTTTAGAAAAAATTATGACATGTGTCAACAACTGATGAGTGACGCCTAAATTTAGGCGTGATTGCCTATTGACTGACGCCCAATTTAGGCGTCTTTAGTGACGCCCAAATTGGGCGTCATATTGTGCAATAAATGTGTAATTATTTCTAAAACTATAATAAATGCGTAATTAATTTATTAAAGAGCATTAAATTAATTTTTTTTCCCGTCGAAGTGTCATGTTATATCTCGTATCCCATATCGGTCTTTATATAATATAGGGTTAAACTATAAATGTGATCTAACTTATATTTAATAATCAGAAAATCTGTTCTATGTTTATTAGCCAATTTGATTCTATCATACCTTCAAACCTCAATAAGAATTAGAAAAAGAATAACTGAAATAATAATAATTTTTTATTATTTGATTATATTTGAATAATAATTCTATTTTTAAATTTATATAAATAATATGACATAAACTTATATGAGCTTTTGGTCTATTTTCTAAATAGTCTTTTTAATGCCTGTGTATGTTCTGAGCCAAGCTGGCTAAACCGACCCTTGAGAGATTCTCCGACTAATTTACGCCTCTATTCATAACCCGATCAGATAAAACTAATCTTGAGTGACAATAAAAGGGGTCTAAATGTTTTCAGTTAAATTACATATCAACTACTAAAATATAAATACTTGGATATGGAGTATATTTTTTTTTCTTTCAAGCTCAAATTTGCTTGCTCGATCCAACGATTTCAAATATATTTTTATCCTATTTCGGTGCTAACTAATTTTTTGCATATAGGTACTAACTAATTTTACCAAACTGTAGTTTCGACCTCTTAGGAGAATATGATAAAATGTGAATGAATATATTAAGAGTAGGAAAGGATATGAGCATGATAATCTCATATTATCTTATCATGTGTTTGTTATGCATTAGATAAATAGTCTAATAATATATAATATTATCCTATTTGTTGGTTGAAGCGAATCATATTTGATGTGCACTATATAATAGTAATAATTTTATATGATTTGTTGGTTAAAATTAACTCATCTACCTTTTATAGTAAGACAATGCTCCCAATATTATTATTATATTATTTTATTATTATTATATTATTTTATTATGATTATAATAATAATCTAAGAACTCAAAATCTTTTACATATATTATAATGTATGATTAAAGATGTGTAAAACACTTAAGATCGACAATAGATAAAAATGAAACTAAAAAAATTTAAATCAAATATTGGTAAAAAAAATTATATATACTTTAATAATGAAATGCTACGACGACATGCTCCCCCGGAAGACTCTAACATGTGTAAAATTTATTTAATCATTGTCACTGATTATAAAACTGAATTTTACAATAAATAGCTAGGAGGGATCGATTCATATGGATGTAATACTTAAATTTTATTTTA